GTGCTACATGCCTGGTCTTTTCCCCTTAAAAGCTAGTTGTTCCCACTGACAGCACATCGCTACTGTCTTGGTTTCTGTTCTATTGCTGTGAAGAGACACCATGACCAAGGCAACTTACCAAAGAAAGCATTTAATTGGGAGCTTGCTTTTAGTGTCAGAGGCTGATCCATGGCAAGGAGTGTGGCAGCGGAGAGGGAGAGCTAACTGTGGACTGTCTCGGGCTTTTGAAACCTTAAAGCCCATCTCTAGTGACACATCTAATCCTTCCCAGACAGTTCTACCATCTAAGGACCAACCAGTCAAATACATGAGCCTATGGGGACCGTTCTCATTCACACCACCACAGCTACCCAAGGACAGGCCTAAGTGAGAAATTTTGCTACCCTAGGATGCCCTGGGTCCAACCAGGAGCTCTTGGCTCTAGCTTCTACTTCCTCATTCCTCCTAGGGCTTTGTCCTTCTGCCCAAGACTGAGTGTGACATTCGGGAAGTGGAGTTTGCCCGATGCCTTCGGCTACGCCAGACCTCCCTGGAGCCTATTGCTTTCCGGCTGCCCCGAGTCAGGGTGAGTTTGGGTCAAGGACTCAATCTCTTCCTTTTTTGGCTGGCCAGGGACCCAGGAACTCAGGTTCTTATCTGTTCTTGCATCCAAGCCTCCCCACTGTCTACTTTTTGGAAACATCTACCTCTAGATTCTTCTGAAATTCAGCAAAGCATGTGATTGCTTTGTGTGGGTGGGGCCAGGTCTCAGGGCTTTTGTGTCCTGGGCCCCTGGTCAGTGTCTCAGGACAGCCCCTTTCTCCTCTACAGAAAGAGTTCTTCCAGGATGATGTGTTCCCGGACACAGCTGTGAGCTGGGAGCCAGTGCTCAAGGCCAAAGCCTGGCTGGGGGGTGCCAATGGACAGCCCCAGCTCCTGAGTTTGCGGCCCCCTGGCATGACCCCAGGTTGAGTAAGGGAAAATGGGGAGATAGCAGGAGAGGGGGGACCTGGACAGGAGTGGGAGGAAGGACCCGAAGGTCCAAGTACAGTCCTCCATTTCTGTTGCCACATAGAGACACCCCAGGCTCATCTAAGGATGGCTGGACATGTATCCAGTCTATGAACCCCTGGAGGGCAAGTTCTGTGGCCTGTGTTTTATCCTAGCACACACACACACATGTGCATGCGCACACACACACGCATGCATGCATGTGTTACATACTCAACATGTGTATTCTTTTTTGTTTGTATGTTTGTTTTTTGAGTCAGGGTTTCTCTGTGTGACAGCTCTGGCTGTTCTGGAACTTGCTCTATAGACCAAGCTGGCCTCGAACTTACAGAGATCCTCCTGCCTCTGCCTCCTGAGTGCTGGGATTAAAGGAATGTGCCACCACTGCACACAGCTCACATGCATACTCTTACAAATACATACCCTGGTGCTTTGGGCAGGCCTGGTGAACGGGTCTTCGGTACTTGTTAATGCCAGAGATCTCCTGGGGATTGATTCTAAACAGGGCCTTCTTTGATGCTTACCCTTGCTCCACCCTAGTGAGCCAAGCCCCCCGGGAAGTCCCTGCCCGAAGAGCCCCGTCCTCAGCACAGTACTTGGAAGAGAAGTCGGACCAACAAAAAAAGGAAGAGGTGGGCGTGGGAGAGGGTTGGCTGTGCTGTGCAAACAGCGTCCTCCATGTGCTTGGTTATCTGCCAGGTCACCAGCCCCACCAGATGGCAGGATGAGCCATGTGTCACACTTGTCTCCACACCAGACTTTGGGGAGGGGCCACACCCAGGGACCTGCTGCTGCCCTCAGAGCATAGCAAGCCAGGGAGGGGACACACATTGTAGCCAGGCCTGACCCAGCCAAAGTTAAAGATTGGAGATGTGAGCCCATGGTGATCCTGGGGTACATTTGAGCCTTGGAGGCAGTGCACCGAGATGGCAGTCTCCTGTCTCTGACGCCTTCTTACTATCTTTGCCTCGTTTACAATGAAAACCCCTCAACCTCGCCAGGGTTCGGACTGAAATGGCTCTTTTTCAGCATTATTGGTGTTAACACTGGGGTTTTAAGTTACTGAGATCAGAGTTGTTTTTTCAGTGCCTCCCCCATCTCCCTCCACAGCTGCTCAATGCCATGGTGGCAAAGCTGGGGAACCGAGAGGACCCCCTGCCCCAGGACTCCTTTGAAGGGGTGGATGAAGACGAGTGGGTGAGTGACAGTTAGAGCCGCTCCTTAGCCCGCAGCGTTGTTCCTCCTCCAAACCCTGTGCACAGTCCCCTTCCTAGGCCCTCTTAACGCCTGCCTCCTGGTTTCTCACCCCAGGACTAGCCTGCACCCCAGGCACCCCGGCCTCAGCTGCCACCGCCACCTCCTAGAACCAGCTGCTGCTGCCCTCCCACCTAACATCTCTGCAAACTGGACAGTGCTGCTCTGGCCCGGCAGGCACATCCGGCCCGGAAGCCCTGGGTCTGCTGCAGGCCTCAGGCTCTCCACTGCTGCCAGCCCACCGCAACTCCAAGGACTGTCTGCTCCTCTCCCCTCGGGCCAGCTGTTTGTCTTCAGCTGCCTGTTAGCATGTGCCACCAAGGGTGGGCAGCAGATGTCAGTAGCGTGTCGCCGGGCCAACCCCGGATGGCTTGCCTCCTAGTCTTCTGCTGGCTTCACCTAACGTCTTCAGTTACTACATGCCAACCTCTCTTGCCTACTGCCCCAGCTCCAGTCAAGGACACTGGGGGCTGGTCCCCCACCAGGCTGTTGGGAGCAGCTTTATCCTCAGGGGCCTAGGACCATTTGCCCTTCTTCCCTTGGCTTGAGGCCAGGAGGAAGGGTCTCATGGAGCTAACAGCCTCATTACAGTGGTGTGAACCCCACAACAACCAGCCTATACATGCTTTGGATGTTTTCAGCAATTAAACTTTTCTAAGCTGGCTGCCTCCTGTGCTGCTCTGGTCTCTGGGAGTCTAGAAAGAAGGGGACAGAATATGAGCCAGGGAACTTTGGTTCTGGGCTCCTTCATGCTGGTTTTACTTTGCCACATTTACTTTGTAGTGAAAAGAGAAGATGGAGCTTCAGCTGACCATAGCTTTGTCCTAGGGACCCAGACCATGCACAGGAAAGCAGAAGGGGAAACTGAGAACTGACTTGGGGGAGGGTATGTAGGGTGTCAGGGGCTGCCAGGAGATGCTTATGTTCTGTGAAACTGGACACTAAGACCTGGAGGAGCCGAGAGCCAGTGAGGGCAGTTCAGCAGTGAACCAGGGTGAGAGAGAATTCGGAGAGCCAAAGGAAGGGAGGATGGGCAGATGTCTAGAGCAGACGTTCTCAATCTGGGGGGTCGAATGACCCTTTCACAGGTCACTTAAGGCCACCGGAAAACACAGATGTTTACATTACGGTTCACACAGTAGCAAGATTATAGTTACGAAGTAGAAACAAAATAATTTTATAGTTGGGGATCACCACAACATGAGGAACTGTATTAAAGAGTCGAAGCATGAGGAAGGATGAGAACACTGCTCTGGAAGAAACTGACTTAAATCCATTCACCAAATAACTATGAGTGTCCATTGCATGTCAGACAGCCTTCCAGGTGCTCGACAGCTAAGAGCAAAGACATAAATGTTCTGCCCACTCCGAGTTCTTCCTCTAGTGGGAAGGCAGAGCAATAAATAATAAAAGTAAAAATAAAGGAATTATTATTATTAAAAATAGGACAAATGGAGCGTGAAGGGATAAACTAGTCACAAAAGACCACATGTAGTTCTGATTCTATGGGCTGTCCAGAGCAAACCACAGACGCAATGCAAATGAGTAGTCTCCAGAGTAGGGAAGGAACTTCTGGGTGGAAACGCTCTCCACTATGGTGGTGGTGGGGGAACTGTCTGGTGTGTGAATTATGGGTGTCTCCATAGAACTGTCACGAATGCATACACACACAGACCACAGAAGAGCTTGTGAGGACTTGGAGGGAAGAGAGAACCCTCTGCAAGCCAATCAGAGAAGCTTACATAAAAAACAAACCTGGCAACACGATCTTCTTGGATGTAAAGATTCCAGATGGGCGGTGGTGGCGCACGCCTTTAATGCCAGCACTCAAGGAGGCAGAGGCAGGAGGATCTCTGAGTTCAATGCCAGCCTGGTCTAGAGTTCCAGGACAGTCAGGGCTACACAGAGCAACCCTATCACGGATCCCCCCCCCTTCCCCGCCCCTCCCAAAAAAAGGATTCCAGAACCATCAGAAAATAAAATAAAAACATTGTGTTTAAAGCACACCTCAGCCCCTCCAAAGCAGAACAGCGTGGTGGGCATATCAGTGTAGTAGGGGAACCTGATGGACCCCACTGAGAAGATGGCTTTAGATTACAGATTTGACCTTGAGGTGGGTGGAAACAGCCCGTCCGGTAGCTAGGAAAGGAGGAGGACTCTGGAATTAAACCTATTTTTGAAGTACCTAGTTTTCTTAAGTATTCCAGAAAATCTGACATCCATCCCCGCATTACTTTGGCTTGTTTCACATAACGGCTTCTTCCTAAATACTCCGGGGAAGTGATGCACCAGTCCCAAGGGCACCGGAGGTCAGCAGCCGCCCACCGCTCGCCCAGCCGTCCTCCTATCCCGAGGCGGGCTCCGCCTACGTTCACGGGGCCGCAAGAGCCACGCCCCTGGAAGTGCGTCGCCGCCGCGGCGCACGCGCCCTGCGGTCTCCCTTGACCTCTGACCCAGCGGCCGCCGGTGAGCTGGTGCCCCTGGGTCGGGACGCGGCGCCCGTGCCCCTGAGGCGCAGCGGCCGCCATGGTGAGGCTCGGGAAGGGAGGGCGAGTGGGGGCGGGCGGCCGGCTCCAGCCCCGCTGCCGAGGTCCGCCCGCGTACCCGTCAGGAAGCGGGGTCTGTGGCGGGTCGCCGGGTCGCAGGTCGCTGACGCCCCGGCGGGGATGACCGCGGGCCTGGGAACGGAGGCTGGACCGGCAGGAAGCCCCCGGCGTGCCCCGCCTGGGCGCGAGCGAGCCGTTCCGGGCGGCGGGAGGAGGCGGTTGTTGGGGGCCGGCTCCTGAGTGGCGGACTCGGCGGCGTGGCTCGGTGTTTAACCGCGTTTGACAGTTGGCTCGTGCAAGGAATTGGTAGACGCGGGACCTGGGCTGGAATGAGGCGCGGAGGCAGTGTTTGTAGGAAACCGTGCAGGTCGCCTGTGCAACCTTTAAAGGGCGGGTTCTTGGGCTTGCCCCTGAGTGACTGGAAGGCGGTTGGTTGGGGGAGCCTATTTATTTGCTTGAGACAGGGTATCACTATGTATGTAGCCCTGGCTGCCCTGTAACGTCGTAAGTAATAGACCAGGCTGGCCTCAAACTCATTGAGATCCACTTGCCTCTGCCCTCAGTGCTGGCATTAAAGGTGTGTGCCACCACATCCGGCTGGGGAGCCTTGCTTTAGTAATCGGAAGGTGGCAGTTAACTGTTTACAGTTGTCGTGTCTGGAGCTGGGGCTTCATGTGGATTGTCATTCAGTCTGCCTCAGGCGTCCCCATTTTACACGTAAGGGACCTGACGCTGTGAGAGTTTGACTTTGCCAGGCTCTTCTTTCACACAAGAGCCAGAGGCTGGTTTTGCCCAGTTTTGTTCATGTTCTGAGACTACACATTTGCCACCATATTATTCCTGCCTTGTAACTGGATCACCAACATCTAATGAGGACCTGTGTTGATTCCTTGTGGGATTGTGTCTTTACCATGCATTCTCCACATTCAACTTTGAAATTAGTCACAGTGGCTTACACTTTCAGACCCAGCACTTGGGAGGCTGAGGCAGGAAGATCAGGAGTCGGAACCAGTGTGGACTTCATGAGTTCCAGGGCAGCCTGCGCACTTTAGTAAAGAGGTCTGAGAGGATAGCTCAGTGTTATAATGCTTGCCCACCACGGGAGAGGCCTTGGATTCAATCCCCAGGACACCTCCAAAAGAGGAAAAAAGAAAAGTACTATGGGAAGGTATAAGTGGGAGGAGCCTTGGAAATTTTCACCTGGGAGTTGGATTATCCCATATTTTGCCAAGCCCTGAAGGGTGGGAAGGTTTTTGGTTTGGGGCATTGTCTTGCTTTGTAACTCAGGCTAGCCTCAAACTCTAGGGATCCTCCTGCCCCAGCTTCCCGAGTGCTGGAATTACAGGCTTGCACCACCACCATGCCTTGGCAATGTTGAGTCTTGACACTATCTGGATAGGAAGGAGGGTATTTATAGTGCAGGGACTCGGAGCTGTGAGACATAAAGGAGTACGAGAGCTTACCAGAAGTAAGGGTGCAGCCGCAATGAGGAAGGTAAGGGGGAGAAAATCCAGAGGACCAAGTTGAGACCAGCGGAGGGAGGTATCAGCCAAGCTGAGGATGATCTGAATTTGCAGGCAGCAGTAGAGCCCTAACTCAGCGTTGGAGGGGTGTGGAAACCCTGCCTGGGGAGTGGGCGTAGGAAACTGGCTTGATTCAAGTGTTGGTTCATGGGCAGTCATGCTCCTTCAAATATGTACTGGGCACCTGCTGTGCAGGCCGCTGGGCACCCAGAAGCACTGTCACCGATGGCACCGTGTAGCAGTCCTGGCCTTGCTCCTGTCTAGCTGTGACACCAGTAACTCACTATCCTCAGGCACTAGTGACAGCCCAGCTCCCTCTACCGTCCGTCCGGCCCACTCTCAGGGCCCGCTACCCTCTACTGGAGGAACGCTGTACACAGGCCTGAAAGTTGGGCCCTTCCTGATGCGCCTCCATGACTTACGCCTCGCTTTGGGACCCCTCCCCACCAGCCTTGTCTGAGGTCCTCTTGGGCCATATTGCTTCCCAGTTGGGAAAGGAAGTGTGTTGCTAATGGCAGATTTCAGGGTTGTAGTCCTGTGGTTATGACTCCTGCCCTCAGCTACTGCTTTGCTTGAAGGGAGCTGTGAGCTGGCTGTTCTTGGCCTGGGATCTTGAGGCCTGTCAGTGAGTTAGAGTTGTTTGGGTGCTTTCTTATTTATTATTTCTTAGTGGTGGTTGTTTGAATACCCTTGAAACGGACTGTAGCTGGCCGAGCTTTGCACCACAGAAATGTTCAGCCGTGAGCATCGCCTGATTGCCAGATCATTAGCACCAGGCAGGGTCTGGTCTGGGAGCAAGGCCAGCAGTTGAGCCCTGGTTCCAGGACCCTGCCGTCTGTCCACTCAATTCTGTGTGTATTGCCTCCCAGGGCCTCACCTCCCTCCTGTGAGGAAATAGATCATTGTCTTCATTTTGCAGTTTAAAAAGCGGTGCTTGAGAAAAGTTAAATTTGTCGAAGGCTACACAGCTGGTGAGAAGCAGAGGTAGAATTCGAGTGGAGGTCAGGCCCTCCTTGCTCCTTTCCCCTACTGCTCGCTTCCTAACTCCTAGGAGGAGACTGTGATTTGTATACTTTTACCTCTGAGGTACCAAAGGGCCTAACTGGGAAAAAAACTGTGTTTGTTGTTTTAAAAAAACAAGGTCTTCCTATATAACCCTAGCTAGCCTGGAATTCACCATGTAGACGTGGGTGACTTTGAACTTGTGGCTGTCTTCCTGCCTCTACCTCCTGAGTACTGGAATTGAGGCATGAACTACCAGGCTAATTTTTATAAAAGCAGAGTAGTAGTAAGTAATACATGGAAACCAATACTTGCTCATCACCTGCTGGGTCATTTAGGCTCCATGCCAGGCATCATCTCACTCTCCGACAGCCAGGGTGTCCACACTTGTGGTGTCAGGAAATTGAGGCACGTATAGGTTAAGACTGTGACCAGGGTCACATGGGCTGGGATGAGTATAGGAGGTAACCCCAAAGCTGGCCTGCATAAATGCTGTTTCAGCCTCCTCCTGGGAACACCTCTGCAGAAACATGAGTGACCCTGTCTGCAAACCCTAGGTGAAGCTTCGCAGGCCAGCCTTGCCTTCCCTAATAGCGTCTAGGCCTGGTGGCTAAGATCTAGTGCAATTCTACCTTCCCCACAGCCACTGTACTCCAGATATCAGGACAACAGGCTACTTGTCACGTTGGCTTGAAGTGTACAGGGGGAAAGTCTCCAGTTATAGCTCCCATTTTGTTTTATTAGAAAGGGTCTTTATATAGTTCTGGCTATTCTGGAACTTCCTATGTAGACCAGGGGCTGTCCATGAACTCAGAGATCCACCTGCCTCTACCTCTAAAGTGATAGGATTAAAGGTGTGCACTATCACACTGGCCAGCCTCAGTTTTGTTTTTTCAAGACAGGGTTTTTTAGTCTTGGCTGTCCTGGAACTCTCTCTGTAGACCAGGCTGGCCTTGAACTCACAGAGATCTGCCTGTCTCTGCTTTCCGAGTGCTGGGATTAAAGCCTCAGTTTTTTTTAACATCCATTATTTAGCAATAACTATGGACTTTTATCAGAAAAGTACATCATTGCTCCCAAGGCCATGTAATGGGTGTGTGGCTAGAGAGGCAGACTGTGTGGTGAAATCTCCTAAGGGGTGTTCTAGGCCCAGGGAACCTCTAGAACCAATCATACAGAAGCTAAATTCCATCTCAGAGTTTCCTGCCTTACTTACTTGGCAATGGCTCCAGGTGAGCAAGGCAAGATCAGGTGAGATCACCGGTCAGTGAGCACCCTGTCACTCCTGTTACTACCACACAGCTGGCATTGATCTTCACAGGAGGGGCTCCCCTGGGCCATGCTTTCTGGTAAAAAGCTAGGGCTTAGGAACTCCCAGCCTGCTGTGAGCCCTCTTCACCTCCCTAATGGCCCATAATCAGATCTGCCTGTTAGGGGAGGGCAGGGCCTGGAAGCCAGAAAGGCCAGCTCTGGAGTTCCTGACGCTGCTCATCTTGCCGTCATCTTCCCTTCAGTAGGGTCCTATGGGAAAGAGGACTTCAGCTTCCCCGCCCCTTCTCCCGAGCACCAGTGAGTCACTAAACCTCGAGTTCTTGGGATGAAATGGCACAAACACTAGAATGTGTCTGACACAGAGCCCGGTACACAGACTTAGTACTTGTTGACAGAGATTAGCCACAGGAAGGTACAAGGGAGACAGGTCCAGCTTTGTGCTGTCCCATGTGAGTGCTACAAGCTTGCAGTGAGCATTCACCAGGAGTGCTCTGCATGCTTCTGTATATCATTTCACAGACATGGGATCCAGTTTATACTTACTCTTTATACATCATTTCTGTTTCACAATGAAATCTTAATGTTTCTCCATTAATCCAACCTCTGGTCTTTTTCCAGCCGAGGATGCTCCCAGGGTGTCTGATTAGGACCCAGCCTAGGAGAAATACTGTCTTCCCCCAGAACCTCTCTCCTGTTCCTTATTATTCCTAGTGAGGCTCCCTATGAACCTGGAACACTTTTTCTGGCTAAGTGGTAGCCAGAAAGCCCTAGTGGATTTTTCTCCACCCCACTCAATGTTCGGATAACAGGACCATGCCTGGCTTACTACATGGACAGTGGGATCTGAACTTGGGTCCTTGTGGTTGCAAGAGCAAGCACACTTGGCTCCCATTTGTTTGGTGGTTTTTTTTTTTTGTTTTGTTTTGTTTTTTTGTTTTGTTTTGTTTTTTTGAGACAAGGGTTTACTATGAGATCCAGGCTCATGATCACCCTTCCTCAGCCTCCCCAATACTAGGATGATAGCCATGCACCACCACACCCAGACCTTTAGTGATTTTGTTCTTATATTCATGGACAGATTCCAAGTCATTGGACTTGAAGTCCTGGGAGAGTTAGGATGGATCTGTTTTCCCTGGTAATGTGAAGGCTGGGCCAGATGGTCTCAAAAGCACAGAGGAGCCATCAGTGACCTTGGAGTGCATTAAACTGGTGGCAGTCTGGGACTCTCAAGCCAGTTTCTTCCCACAAGTCAGTGTCAATTTTATCCCCCTACAGCCTTTCCAATCTTCATCGGGGAACTCCAACATATCTAGAGCTACCAAAGGAAGTTTAGAGGAGTTAGCCCTTAGATCATCCCCACATCTCTAAGGTGTCTGTTATGCCCACAGGCCAAGTACCTGGCCCAGATCATCGTGATGGGCGTGCAGGTGGTGGGCAAAGCCTTTGCCCGGGCCCTGAGGCAGGAGTTTGCAGGTAAGCCTCTATCTCTGTATGCTGGGAGCCCTGCAGTTTAGATTTTCCTGTGGGTTGTGTCAGTCGTGGATGAAGGGATTGGACTCTGGCCTAGGTGCCTGGAGTACTTTGCTGTGGTAGGAGGCAGTGCCAGACTTGGAGACATTCCTACATACAGGAAAGGTTTGTTTTCAGTTAGGCTTGGTTAGCACGAGCGCCCGGGCAAACGGGCCCCTGTGACAGTCCATTTTGGTAAATAAAGTAAGAGAGTCACATCTTCTGGCTGCTTTGAAGGAGAGCTGAGTAATTCCAACACAGACTAATTGACTGTAAAGTTAAAATGTTTATTATCTGGCACTTTAAGAGAGTTTGTGGCTTTTGATGGTAAAGTCACCAAAGGAGAGCAGCCCCGGGGTGGTCTGCTGTGACAGGCTGGGCACGTTGTGGAGGCTGTGACACTACTCCTCCCTGCCTAGTCCCCAAAGTCACTTAAAGCTCCCAATTTGCTAGGCCTCTGGGACCTAGGAACGAGGGAGGAAGAGGGTCAGTCATCTTGTGGTCTAGACTGGCGGACCAAGAGCCTAGTTTGACCCTTCAGTGGACTGTTTGCCCCTCCCTCCAAAAAGACGCCATACTAAAGAAAAGCTACTCCTGGGCAAATTGTTTCTTTTGTGTCACTTAGAAGGCCTAGGGGAAGCTCTGGGCCACCAAGGGGACTAAGCAGTCACCAATGTGTCCACAGCAAGCCAGGCAGCCGCTGATGCTCGGGGTCGTGCTGGGCACCAGTCTGCAGCTGCATCCAGCCTCTCTGGCCTCAGCCTTCAAGAGGCCCAGCAGATCCTCAACATCTCCAAGCTGAACCCTGAGCAGGTCCAGAAGGTGAGGCCCCTGATCTGTCATGGGGTGGTGGTGTGCAGAAGAGGGTGGGTGTAACAGCCCTGACCACAGCCAGTGGGAGCCCGAAAAGCCCCAGGCGGCACACAATACAAACATGGCAGTTAGCTGTAGCAGCTGAGCCGTCCCCACATGGCGACTTGTCTCTCTCTCATCCTTCCCTGATGTCACCCAGAGACTAATGTTCACTTCTCCTCTCTGCAGAATTATGAACACCTGTTTAAGGTGAACGATAAGTCCGTGGGAGGCTCTTTCTACTTGCAATCAAAGGTGAGTGCTCTTGAACTCTATGAGGAAAGGAAGCCGTGGGCTTCCCCTTGTACCCTGGAGTGCTCCTTAAGTTGTTTGAATCTTGGCAGTCTGCTGTCCTCTAGGGAGGTTGTTCAGGCCTGGGACAGGAAGGGGAAAGGTCCTCCATTCAGACTGTCAGAGCCTGACCTTCCGCCGCCTCCTCCTCCTAGGTTGTCCGTGCGAAGGAACGTCTAGATGAGGAACTCCGAATACAAGCCCAGGAAGAGAGAGAGAAAGGGCAGATGCCCAAAACGTGACTGCTGGCCACTCCCCACCCCACCCATTGCCTCATAATTTATAGCTTGGTAATAAATGTCTTTTCCATGTTTCTCCAGTGCATCTATTCCTGTTTGAGAAGGTTTGCTCACTTCCTGCCCATTTGGGGTTGTGAGGAGTCAGGAGGAAGCAGCTTTTGACAGCCTGATGGACGGGATATTGGTGACCAGCTACACACCCACTTTAGTAAGCCTGTCCAGGATCTGTCACAGAGGCTTTGTTCCGCCTGTGTGTCCTACCACACAGTCCTGAGGAAACCAAAGGGTCTGCCCGTGCCTTCCCTCAAGATGAAGGAGCCCTGGCCCCAGAACTCCCAGCTGGGGCAGCATACTGCTCTCCGTGACTTGGGCAGAAAGTTCATCTGTAGCTGGGAAGGAGCTTTGGCCGGGTGTCAACCATTCTCAGCAGGCAGTGGCAGATCAAGGCCTGAACCTTGTAGTTGAGAATAATTTGTACCCTCTTGTCCCTTACTGCCCACCCTTTCTAGTCCCAGGTGGGTGGGCCTTCTGATCTCAGAGTGAAGGTGGCCTGTGGCAGGTTGAGTGGAAAGGTCCAGGCCAGGCCTTTAGGTGTCTAGTCGGAACGCCCATAGCCAAGATAGAGCAAGTGACCCAGTTCCTGGCACATCTACTATGCAGAAACCATCTTTGCAACTCACTTTTATTGTTTCTTTATAAACTTCCTCTCACATGGAGGAATATATTGTTATAGTCATTAGCTTATCTTTTTGTTTTGTTTTAACTCTATGCTAACAGCAATGGAGCCAAAAGGAGGAAAAACACAAGCTACAATAGAAAGGCACTTAGAACCTGTTAAAATACTGATGTCTGGGATGTGCGACGACGACAGACTGACAAGTACACCGGCCCTTCCAAGCCTGGTCTATCACGGAATCACATGCTGAGCTAATGTCGCCTTCCAGTGCCCGTGCTCTGTTCTGCGGCTCGAGTCTGAAACCCAATCCCCCAGTCAGGGACTTAAGGCCTAGGGCCCTAACGAGCCAGGAGGTTACTTGGATCATGGGTAGACCCGAAGACAGGAGACCAGCTCCTTAACTTGCTCACAGCCCCTTCAAGGGGTAGAGCCAGCACAGCCGAGCCCTATCAGGGCTGGGGTCCTAAGCCCAGCAGTTGGGCAGGTCAGGTCAGGGTGACCCTTCTGAAACAGAAGGGCAGTCTGGGGGAAAAGGAGAGTAGGCAGAGCTGCTCAGAAGAAGCAGAGCTACTAAGGACCCCTACCATCCCAGCAGCTTTTGTTCTAAGGATGGGGAGGTGAGGGGCTAGCCACTCTGCAGCCGAGGACAGAGGACAGCAAGAGGCCGGAGCTGGCACACCTAGCCTTCCGAAGCTGTGGAGCACAGTCCTCCAATGTCCTCGGCTTAGTCTAGCCCTACATAAGTGCTGACCTTATTCTGAGTAGTGCAGGCCCTTGGGGAGCTGGCTCGGGAGAGCCTGTGGGCCAGAGAGGCACCACCAACCAAGGAAAGGACTCAACTGGAAAGTCAGAGGAAACAACCTTGTCACGTGTCCAGGCCATTCTCTAGCCAGCTTTTCCCAAGCAGACGGTTGGTCCTCCAAATGCTGTGCTTGGCTGCCTAGCCTCCCTCACACCCAGGGGCTTCAGTGGTTTCTAGAAAGCTCCTTTCTGATGAGTCAGTCCTTCCCTGCATTCCATGACCTCGTAACCCCCAAACCTGGAGCCCACCTGATATACACTGACACTTCTGCAGGGTAAGAGTGCCAGGCCAAGCCAAGCTGGACCGGACCAGTACAATGATCCTTCGAACCTGCTTGCACACTCCCAAGGGAGAGGAGTGCTCAGCCACCCCTCCTCTTTAGAAAGCGTTGCCAGCCCTCTGGCGGTGCTGACTCGGGCAGAGGGGCACTGACAGCAGGCTTCTCTGCTTAGCAAGCAGGGAAGCACCTTGTCATAGCAGTAGGCAGGAAAAGGCGGCTTTCTCGTGCGCCTTGGCCAGGGCCTGTGTCTGTCTTGCTCTCCCTCCAGGGGTGGGCCGGAGGGAAAGGGGTCTAAGGAGTTCCCAGGCAGGGGCTCCCCAGCTGACAAGCAGGTAAGGCCCAGAGGAGTGTCAACCCGCCCAGACTGCTGTGGAGAGGAATGCACCAGAGCAAGAGGCAGGACTGAGCCCTTGGAGGACAGGCAGAGGAAGGCCTCACCCAAGCTACGGGCCGGGGAAGTGGAGGTGAGTGAGGCCTTAGCACCCAAGAGCATGGCCTCCTTGGACAGCAGGTCCAAGCCAAGTCCACTCTGGAGCCAGGAAGCCACCAAAGACCTTCTAGCACCATCCTTGCTACCCAGCTTGTCTGGGGCTGCAGCCTCCCAGGAAGCAGACACTTGGGCCCCTGGAGCAGCAGGATATTATTGCTATTTCGCAGAAGAGTTTCTGTTCGTCAGGGGATGAGCCCACAGTAGGTAGCTGGCCTGTCACAGCTGGTAGGTGGGTAACCCAGGTTCAGTTTACCACAGCTGGTTTGAGCAGCACAGACCCTGGCGGGATGACCACCCAGCCAGGAGTTAGCGCCTCTGGACTGCTGGCTGCCGAGTTGCCCGTGGACAGGTCCAGTACAGTGCCCGGGAGCAAGGGGAGTCCATCGGGGCTTGGCCGGGAGCGGCTGCGCTCCGTCCTCTCCAGGGGGGGCTTGTGGTCCTCCAGGCCCAGGACCCTGGCAGGCACTGACCCACGACCTTTCTCCCCCTCAGCCTTGCTACCAGCGGAACCACCCAGGAGAGAGACCACAGGCAGGCCTAGTCCACTAGCCCCAAAGGGGGAGGGCAGCGGTGGGTTCTTGGCCAGATTGAGGGGTAGAACAGAGCCTGGCAGCCCAGGGCCCATGCCCCCACCTCCACCTCCACCACTGCCACAGGCCAGAGCACTGAGGTCAAGGGGGCCAGGAGCCAGGGGTAAGGGCAGGCCTGGCAGACTGGGGCCTCCAAAAAGGGCAGCAGGGTTTGGGATGATGATCTGAGCCCCACTGACATAGGAGCCGCTGTCGGGAGTGGGCAATGGTGGTTTCGGGGGTGGGCGTAGCTGCAGGAGCTCCTGCTGTTCATGAGACACAAAGTGACCGTGGGCTTTGATGTGCTTGCGCAGTGAGCTGGGGTCGGTGTAGCGCTTGTGGCAGCCAGGCATCTTGCAGTAGTAGGGCTTGTCTACGTAGTGGGTACGGGTGTGCTTGAATCGGTCACTCGAGTTGGAGTAACGCTTGTTGCAGCCCTCATAGGGGCAGACGTAGGGCTTCTCACCTGTAGGGGTGGGCTGCATTGAGGGGTCTCAATTCTGCCAGATCTTTCCACCTGCCCCCTTGCCTCTCCCAAGCCCAGAGCTCCTGAAGCATTCTGACTCTGATTTGGGAGACCATCCCTGACCAGGATGAGGCTGACCCAGCTTGCAGGTGGAACTGCTGTGCGCCCACCAGATTCCTTTGCTATAGAGCCCGTGAACACTGCTGGGCAGAAGTCAACCTTGGCGTGTGCGCCGATGCAGACCTGGGCCCTGGTAAGCACTTCCACGTGGCCTTGCTCAGAATGGCTCACAGTGTTCTTTGTTTTTGTTTTTGGAGAAAGGGTTTCCCTGTGTAGCCCTGGCTGTTCTAGAACATCTCAGTAGACCAGGCTGAGCTCAGAGATCTGCCTGCCTCCTGAGTGCTGGGATTAAAGGTGTGCACCCCCTTACCTGGCTTGAATCACAAAGTCACTATGCTGACCAGGACAGGAGCCACCTGTAGCCAGTCAGCCTTTGAAATGAAGCTGGGTCCAGAAGGAGGTGTGCTGTGAGGCTAAGATAGACTACATCTCAAAGGCTGTGTGTGAGGAGGGCGTTTCATGTTCTGCTGTTTGGTTTTGGTCATTGTTTCTTTTCTTTTTTTAAACATTTATTTATTATGTATACAATGTCCTGCCTACAAGCCAGAAGAGGGCGCCAGATCTCATTACAGATGGTTGTGAGGCACCATGTGGGTGCTGGGGATTGAACTCAGGACCTCTGTAATAACAGCCAATGCTCTTAACTGCTGAGCCATCTCTCCAGCCCCATTGTTTCTTTTTAGAAATGGGATCTCACTGTGTTGATCAAGATAGCCTTGACCTAAGTTTGCAGGATTGTGGCGCATGCTTTGATCCCAGCATTTGGGAGGCCGAGGCAGGCGCATCTCTGAGTTCAAGGCCAGTCTGGTCTACAGAGTGAGTTCCAGGACAGCCAAGGCTACACAGAGAACTTGTCTCAAAAAAACACAACAAAAAAACCCAACAACTTTCCCCCTTCAAGCTAATTATTTGGGAATGCAGACATTCATCACCATACCCAGGTTTTCTGACATGTTTTTAAAATATTAAAATAACTACACACACACACACACACACACACACACACACACACACACACTTATATATTGGGTTTCATAGGACACATAATTACAATTAATTTCACCTATTTCCTTTTTCTTTTCTTTTTTTTAATTTTGTTTTGGGTTTTTTGGAGACATGGTCTCATTATATAATTCTGGCTGGCCTGAATTATATAGACCAGGAAGGCCTTGAACTCACAGAGATCCTCTTGCCTCTTGACTCCCAAGTACTGAGATTAAAGGTGTGTGCTACCGTGCCCAGCTTGCTCTCTTTAATGGAGTAACTTAAAATGAGGTGTGTGGTTCTGTAGGGCTTGGGGTACAATGCGGAGAGACAGACCTGGTCTGCCAGCCCTAAGGTGGCATCAGATGATCATACCCATATAAGGGGTCCCCTAGCTAATGTCCCAGCACTTGGGAGATGAAGGCAGGAAGATTAGGAGCCCATGGTCATCCTTGGCTACACAGTTAGAAACCAGCCTGGGTTACATGAGACCCTGTCTCAGACAAGGGGAGCAGGGTATGAACAATGAGATCTGTCCCTCTTTCCAGCCTTTCCCTGGAGCCCCAGCCTCCACGAGAAACTTACCTGTGTGGGAGCGGTTGTGGATCTTCAGGTTCTCCAGGCGGGAAAAGCTCTTGTTGCAGGTGGGACATCGGTGTGGCTTCTCATTGGTGTGAGTCCGGATGTGGATGAGCATCTTGTACCTGCTCCAGGGAGGGCCCGGGGGCACACTCAGCTCAATGGGCACCCAGCCCCTCCCTTCCTGCCCTCACCCTGCTCCCTCACCTGGCATTGAAGCCACGGCCGTGGCGGGCACAGCCCTCCCAATGGCAGCAGTACCGAGCATCCTGTTCCGGCTTGACATGATGGTCATTGACATGGTCAACCAGGTCTTGGAGGAGCTCAAAGAGCTGGTTACACTGTAAGGCCAGGCAGGCAGGGTTCTGATCCCAAGTAGGGTGCTGGCCCAGCCCTCTCCACTCTTCCCAGCTCCCAACTCACCTTGGCCCATCGACACACCAGCTGCTTGGCCAGGGGCAGCTCCGGTGACAGGCACTTGTCCTTGGGGGGTGTGAGGAAGGAGGAAGCAGGTAGGTGCAGAGCTCCCCCAGAGCCCAGGGGCAAGAAGAACTGGAAGGAGCTGGGGACACCATCCAAATAGCGAAGTGTCTGGAAATCCTAAAGAGTAAGAGGTTAGCGTACCCCACTGGCAGGTCCAGACACACACACACACACACACACACACACACACACACACACACCACTGCCACTTTGTTACTTTGTTTTGTTTTTCCACACAGACTTTCTCTGGGTAGCCCTGGTTGTCGCCCAGAGATCCACCTGCCTCTGCTTCCCAAATGCTGGGATTAAAAGAAAAATGTGTGCCACCACTGCCAGGCCAGACCTCTCACTTTTACCCTCGTGTGGACAGTGTTAAATTATATCAATACAGCTAGGTATAACATGCCTTTCACCCCAGAACTTGGGAGGCAGAGGCAGGGAGATCTCTGTAAGTTTAAGGACAGTCTGGTCTACATAAGGAGTTCCAGGATAGCCAGGGCTATGTAGAGATCCTGTCTCCAAAAAAAAAAAGATATCAATCCAAAAGACACCCTGAGTACTAATCCAAGGCACCTGTGTATATGACCTTGTTTGGAAATAGTCTTTTTAGGGGTAGTTAGTTAAGGTGAGGTCCTACTGCAGTATGATGACCCTAAATCCAGCATCTTATGTCTTTATGGCGGAGGAAGGCCTAGACACAGACACACACGCAGGGGAAAGGACCAGCTGATGAAGATGTCACCTAGAGGTGACAGATGTAGTTAACAGCCTGGGGATGAGAATCCCTTTCTCTTGTTTCAAACTACCCAATTTGGTGGCAGCTGCCTAGGAGCCCTAGGAAGCCAACATACCCTCTGTCTCAAGAATCTTCCCCCTCCTTACCACAGCAGTCGGCAGTGGAGGCAGGTCCCCATTGCCCTGGCGCTCAGGGGACAGGGAGCTGCTGCCATTTGGGGAGTCCAGTCCAGATGGTGGTGACAAGCTGAGGTCCCCCAGGGGAGCTGTGGAAAAGCGTCCATCCACCTTCTCAGGGAACTTGGGGTTCAGCAGGAAACCTGAAGAAGATCCTGTTTCAGGGAAGCAAGCTAGAGGCCTGTTGGACCAAGTCCCACCACTTCGGGATCCCTACCACCATTTTCGACTATTCTGGAACCCCAGATACCCAAAGAGCAGCCAGGACAGTTCTAGTCATGACATCATCAGTCTGACCTTCGCCAGGAGAGCTGGCTGCCAGGAACAGGAAATGGGGCTGGCATGGTGGTTCATACCTGTAATCACAACCCTCAGAAGGATCAAGAATTCAAGGCCATCCTGGGCTACATAGTGAGTTCAATGCCAGCCTGAACTACACCAGACCATCTCAACAACAACAAAAACAACAAGATGAGACTTATCTGATACATGGAACTGGAACACAAGACTACCTCACTCCCTGTCATGTTCTACCTTAGTGTTCCTTTCTGTAAAATGGGAAAATTGGGATGGGCTGACTCTTTTTATCTCAAGCATGTGGTAAAACTGGTTCTCAAGTCCAGTTGAAGGTACAGCAGATGAGGTGAGTACCACCACACTACAGGGAGCACAAAGCATCTTTAAGACACATCTGCCTAGCTCTGTCCCCAATCACCACCCAGTTTAACCAGCCATACAATCTCGGAATCCAGAGACAATCCTGGGACTTTTGCTACTGCTTTGCCCCCCTCTACCTCTTTCCAGATCCTTCCACAGGCCCTGGTTGGAGGTATTTTGTTGTTGTTGTTGTTGTTGTTGTTGTTGTTGTTTTTGTTTGTTTTTTGGTTTTTCGAGACAGGGTTTCTCTGTGTAGCTTTGCACCTTTCCTGAAACTTACTCTGTAGCCCAGGTTGGCCTCGAACTCACAGAGATCCATCTGCCTCTGCCTCCTGAGTGCTGGGATCAAAGGCATGCCCAACCCCAACCAGCTAGGAGCCAGTTTTGTATGCCCAGTGAGTAAATTGGGCAGGTCTCATAGGATGAATGGACAAGCATGGAGGTGGTACTTTCAAGCACAGTACCTGGTGGCGGGGAGCCTGGGGAGCCAGGTGTGGGGCTATCATCCACCAGACCCAACTCCCTATGCAAAGGGTGATGTCGGACCACACCCAGTGTCCTTTCCCGCTTCTCTCTCGCCGCCCGGAGCTTGGTGATGCTCAGCTTTAGGTCAAGCGGCTCGTCCAAGGAGTGCATGGTGATGGGGAGGGTCAAAGAGGGTACCCAGCTCGTCTTCAGGCAGGAACCTGGGGAAGGACACAGGCTGTATAGTGACACTGTAACCGTGGGTTTCTCCTTCCGCTATACCCACTAAAACCTGAAGAAGCAGAGGAGCAGAGACAACACCCTGAATGGCCTGGCTCACAGATATCACAGAGGGTCACCATCCACCCAATGCAAGATTCCACTGCCACTCCCCATAAGTCTTTTGGGATAGGCCAAGTTTATGATCTCCACTTAATGGTGAGAATAAATGTTGGAAACTGACTCCGGTGACGGTACTCACAATCTGGCAGAACAGCCAGACTTGAAGCTACGTCTCCCAGGACCTCGCTGGCTAAGTCCCAACAGTCACTTCTGATAGAACAGGAAGCTATGCTTGGGAAGCCTGCCAGTCTGAATTCAGAGACCTAAAAGCAGGCTAGGGAGCAACAAGCATCCTCCAAGATGTAGGTAGCATTCCTCAGTGGCCAATTAAGCACCCAGGTGCCAGAAGTGCCTGTTCAGGGCAGGGAACTACGTCACCTCCGAGGGAAGCAGGCTGAGGGCCTGTCCCAGGCAGGCTGTGCAAAGCTTGGCCAGGAGAGTAAGGCCGAAGGTAGGCCTTCACAAGCCACCAGGGGGCAGCTGGGGACTGTGGTCAGGCCAGCTCTGCAGGGTCTGCTGGACCAGCAAAGGACAGTAGATAGTATTAAAAAGCAAAAGCTGGTAGTGATATTCTTCTAATTTCATTCTGTGATGTTCCTCCTGTTTGCACAATTTCTCACTGGTGTCACCTCCAAGATGTAAACGGACTCACAGCCCCCCTGACCTAAGAACAAGGCCAGCTCTTCCCCAGCAAACTTCATTTTTCCAGAAGCAGCAGACTCTCCTCTACCCATGAGAAGCCTCCTAGCTGTTTCCCCGCCTTTGTTCACGCAGACTGTCACACCTTCAAAATCTTTTTACTAGACACCCACACTATGAGACTCTACCACTGTATTTAAAACAAAAAGCGGGCATGGCGGGAAGAACCACGACCTGGGACATCCTCGGAACCAGAGCTGCCCAAGTGCCCTTACGGGGGTGAGCACGCCAGAGGGGACAGCGCTGTACCCCAGCCCATCTCTCCTCCAGGGCAGCTTCGCCTACACGGTCCTTGCTTGCACCCCAGCCCGCACATGCTTCCTACTGATCTCCCACGAGCTCCAGCTTTCAGGGCGTTCCCTAGGTACACAGGATAGCCCCTTCCTTGGCCTGCGACACTGCTAGTGAGGACATATCTCCAGCTCCCACTACATGTGGCTACATGCGATCTGGGCACACCAGGCTGCATCACTGGAGCACAGGAAGCCCGTCTTCACTGTGAGATTCAGGTCTGCAACTTGTCTCCACTGAAGCTGTCGGATGCCCTTGTTATGGCTCAGGCCATGCCTGGACTAGAGGCCTCACTGACACCCCGGTGACTCTCTGAGGAGTCCCAAACCCAGGTAGGTGGGCAGGTGACAGTGATGGGTGGCCTGTCTAGGCAAAGGCTGCCCTCTGCTTGACCTGCAGCCCATTAGGTCTGTCTGTCTGTCTCTCTACCTGTTTATTTTTAGACACAGGCCTAGTTCAACCTCCCTGAAGCTGCTCTATGCTGGGAGCCTGGAAGGGGAGGAAGGAAGTAAATATTTATGCTGATTAAGAATTCAGGAGCCAGGAAGGGCTGGTGGCCTAGTCCCTCTTCTGGCCCAAGGCCACAGGCCTCCCTGCCCCCAACACCAACCATGGAGAAAAGAAGACCACTGGCAAGGTGCCTGAGCTAGAAGAACCAAGTGCTGACTCGCAGTCACAGTGCCAACTGAGCAGGAGCCTCTGGCACCTGCTCCCGTCTCACGTGGTCCTCCCACCAGAGGGAGCCTGGGAGGAGCCACTAGTCTGTCACCTGGTTCTGAGGACCTCAGGGTGAAGTGTTCACCTAGGGCTGGGAAGGCCCCAGCAGGAGCCCATCTCCCTGGGTGGAGCACCCACAGCAGGAAAGGGGACTCCAGTGACTGCCTCCCACCATCAGTGAACCCAGTCTCCAGGGACACCCCTTCACTTCCTGTCCCTGGGTTCTGCCCTGGGAGGTAGGGGTTCATTTTGGAAGCCAGAACTCAGCCCAGGCGCCGCAGCCCCTCCTGGGAAAGGAAGAAGGAACCGCCCCAATGAGTCTCGCTAGTTTTCCTACCCATAGCCCCCCAGGGAGTAGACGGCCTATGACCCCACTCACGCTCTGACCTTGGCCAACCTCAAAGTCCTCACCCCTCTCCCATTCCCAGCCAGCAGCAGCCAGTCTGGGCTCAGCCTCGCTCTTTGTTACAGAGCTAGGTGAAAAGCAAGCGAGAGGCGGGTCCCCCACCCTTCTAAACAGTCTCTGCAGCTCAGCCCCTCCAGCCAGACTGAAATGCTTAGAACAAGGACCATGGGGGGCTGTGACCCAGAAAAGGTGAAGAAGCTGCCTCCCTAGGCAAGACCTGGCTGCTTGCCCTTAGAGTTCTGGAGATCAGTAGGTAGAAGCTGGTAGTCCACAGGGGCAGGGACCTCACCTATCCCAGTCAAGTGTTCACGGGTGCAGTGCTATGGACAGACCCCACCAGCCCGCTACAATTCCCACCTTGCTGGGGAAACCACCAGGGCCTCAGTTTCCCTACTGGTCGGGATGGCCAAGTGCCTCACACCCCGTTCTGGCTGTGGGAGAGCTCACTTGCCGTAGGCTGGGTGCACCCTGCGACACACCTACCTGCATGGGCCCGAGAGGGGGGCCCACATGGAGGTGGTCGTGTGGTCGCATGGCCCAGGCCCCACGAGGCTCCTCCAGCTGCAAAAGGAACTAATTAGAACAGAGGGAGCTGGAGGGAGCGGCAGTAAGGGAGGAAGTGCAAGAGGGGCTGGCTGAGCGGGGACCACCGGGGCGGCAGAGGTGGGGACAGCCCTCCCACAACCCGGGGCGGGGGTCACCCTGAGGGTGGGCTGGGCACCCCCGCCCCCCGGCCAGCCATGCCAAGACAATGACTGCCATTGTGCGCCTGCCGCAGACCCTGCACAGACAGCCCCCAGCTGCAGCTCCTGCAGGGCACCCGGCCCCCTACAGACCTATCTGCCACCACCCCTCCCTCTTGGGGAAACCGAGCTTCAAAGTCACCAAGCTAATAGAAGGGGACCAGGACCCTGCTCAGGATGACGTCCTTCCTTCCGTGCCTGAGGGGGGGTATTTGGTTAGCCTTGAGTCTGGAGGGGTTAGAGAGGGAGGCCTACCTATGCGAGGTCGTCCCTCGGTCCCTGGCAAACGTTTAAGTACAAGGACCCAAGCAAGGTGGGGACTGTATCCTTGCCCATCTACCTCACAGCAGTGTAGCTAATATGATGAAGAACACCCCATTTCGCCAGGAGTAGTCTTGAAACTGTCCATTTGGTGAGCTACAGCAAACCCAGCCTAGAACTTACAGGCAAGGGCCCAAGATGCACCTCTCCATGTAGTGAGTGGTGGTGGCACATGCCTATACTATAATACCAGCACTTGAGAGATGGAGACAATTAGATCAGTAATTCAAGGCTAAGGTCAGCCTGGACTCACACACAGACACACAGACACACACACACACACACACACACACACACACACACACACACATCACGGTCTCACTGAACAAAAGTTAAAACCAACTTGTCCCTGATGTGTGTCTCCAAATCTGGTAACCTGGACCATCACTTTAGCACTCTGGTCTTACAGACTGGGAATCTGAAGGCTGGGGGAAGTTCCTACCCCAGGTTGCAATCACGGGTGGCAAGACCAAGACCAAAGCCATGGTGCCTGTCACCGTGACTGCCCTAGCCAGGGGCTGACAGTCCAACATGCCAGCATCAGTTACAGCAGGTGATACTTCACGCCACTTTCCAGATGCAGAAACGGAGGCTCAGGAAGGTGGCCTGCCCTGGTCTCAGGGCTGCTTAGGTTGGTCACCACCTCCTCATCCCGAGGGCTTACGGAGCTAGGGGCAGAACCAGGAAAGGCAGCGGGCAGGCTGGGTGGGCACTGGAGGGGTGACAGGGTCGGGGGCCACCAGAAGGCTGGGAGAGCTGAAGCAGAAACGCTGCCAAAGCAAACTGCCCACAACCCCACATTCCTGGGAATCGGCTGTGCTCCGTGCCCTGGCCAAGAGCTCCACCCGCCTTGGCCGCCCAGCGAGGGAGGCTGGAAGGAACAGGACCTCTCGGGGGCCCCCTTCCCAACCAGGCAGCAGGCAGGGTTCCAAACACGGGTCAGACAACATGGTCTGCTCGGTTGCTTCCTGCCATGTCCCCTGACCCCCCTCTCCTCTCTCCTAAGGTGGGATGTAATATTCAACACACAGAACAGAGTTAGACACACAGTAAGCACGTAGCAAAACTCATTCTAAGTGTCACCACTGAAGTCCCTAGTCTATAAGGACAACCCTGAGGAGGGACTGGCCCTCCCTGTGTACCCACAAACATTAAAATCTCATTCCAGACCGGAACTTTGGCTGGCCTGTACCCCTTGGAAGAACCTTGGCCCTCTACTGTCCCGTGGAGTGACCACAGAGTTGGGGGAGCACCCACCAGCAGGGAGCCCTCCCTGTGGAGCCTGACTGAGCACTAAGTGACCCTGGATGGAGGGTGCAGTGGCCAGAGGCACATCCTGGAAGGGTTTGGGGTGTGCCTTCCTTGGAAACCCATGATTAGGTATAGCCCCATGCCAGTCCAAGAGGGGCACCTAGCCTGCACATACCACCTCAGTAGAAACTCAAATGTCCCCAGACAGCCAGTCCAGATCAAAACACTTCTCGCTAGAGGGCACTGGGGACTGGCTGAGCAGCAGCCGAGCACACGGTGTGTAGAGAACTTGGCTTCGGCAACTTCCCAGGGCAAAGCTTGCAAACTACCTGGCTGTAGCCTCCTCTGGCTGTGTGGCCTCCCACAGGTCACTGTCACTCTCCAAGCCTCCGGACGACAGTTTCCTCATTGGTAACTCAATCACTACAATAATGATCCCAGGACATCCTATAGGACAAGCCTTGGCCCGGTGCCTGCCCCATGGAAGATGCTGGTAACTGGGGCTAGTCACAAGCCCTAAGGGTTCCCATTTCTGCCCCCGGCTGAGGGTGACCCACACAGTGAGTCTCCCAAGGTCACCCAGAGCTGAAGCGATAAAGCCAGCAGGTGTGCCCCCATCACCCCCCCCCCCAGAGGCGCTTCCTTGTCCTGCACCAACAGGAGCAGTGACGAGGGCCGGGAGAGCCTCAACATCCCCGGACACTCATGCAAACATGTGGCCCTCCAGCTGCAAGGTCTGTCCGGCCAAGAAGCCTCCAAATGCTCTGGTGGCTCTGGGCCCCTTCTCCGGCCCCCACCTCCCGCTGCCTGCCCGCCTGCAGCCACCTTTGAACAACTATGTCTGGTATTTTCCTGTCTGCCCAGCTTTGGGGGGGGCGGGTATGGGGCCATGAGCAAGGCCGCACCTGGGCCTCAGCCAGAGGCAAGCCAGCCAAGCAGCCCCCACACTGCCTGCCAGGCTGGAAGGGAAGGACACAGGGCTGGGCAAGGCCACCAAAATCCCTGGGAGGGGTGGGCAGCAGGGAGCCAGACGGGGCACACACCCAGCAAGGCCGAGCACAGGCAGAACTACCATTCGGGGACTGGAGGCGGACGTAGCCTTTTTGGTAGAGCGCTTGCCTAGCACACACAAGACTCCGGGCACTGCACGGACCAGGTGTGGTGGCAAAGGCCTGTAACCCCAGCATTCAGGTCAGCATGGGCAACATAGTAACACCCCGTCTCACAAAACAAAAAACAAAACCTGCCACACTGCTGTTCCGGGGAGGGGAAGTCCTGTGGGGTGGGGGTGAGGAATAGCCTATGTGCACTCACTGGAGTGCCGAGGCCAGCACAGGTAGCGCCAGTATTTCACCGATGGGCAGTCGGTGGGCAAACATGTGTCTCACCCTTGGGCACAACAGCACTGAAGCCTCGCCTCGGTCTCAACGGCAGGTGCCACTGCTTAAGGGACCGGATAGGTATGGGTGACCAATCCACAAAGGCAAGGAAACTACTTCCCACGCCCGGCAAAGCCCATAAGCACATCAGGAGGTCCACACCTGAGGCCCACTCCTCCCACTCCCCTGGGGCAGACACCAGGCCACTGTGACCAAGCACACCTGCCAGCTCCCCAGCGGGAGGGTGGAGGCGGGCTCTGGACTTTGGCCCTTCCGGGCCGCTTCATTTGTGCATTCCAACGCAAGGCTCTCTGCTGGGGTCCAGGATAAGTCAGATGGAACAAGACCTGAAGGTCGCAGCTATGGAGGCAGTGAAACAATGTCAGGGGTACCCAGCTCTGCGGGGGGCGTGGGGGGAGGGGGGCAGATCTGATAAGGCCAGGAGGACACAACAAACCTGGGAGCTAGAGCTGGCTGTACTTCCCGCTACTTGGGAGGCTGAGGCAGGAGGATTACAGATTCTGGACTATAGAGTGCGTCCAAGGCCAGCGTGGGCAACACAGTAAGATCCTGTCTCAAAAAGTGAAAAGAGGAGAGATCCCTCCCATGGAGGCCCTCCTACTCTCCGGGGCTCTTTCTCACTTAAGTCTGCATTTGCTCTAAAAATACAAGTGGCTCAGGGGGAGACAGCGCTTGCCTGGTGTACAGGAGACCCCAGGTTTCATGCTAGTACCGTAAGAAGAGCAGACAGTCTGGGGACAAAGGACCAAGTACTCCCTGGCCAGGGACAAGCCAACAGCCTCCCTATGGACTATCCTGGTTTAGCCTGCCACTCCTGTGAATGAGGTGCTATTCGCGCCCGCCCGCCCCGTCTTCAAGTTAAAGTTAACTGTCAAGGTCACTGCTTGCAAACCACGGGGAGGCTGGGATTCAAAGCAGTCTTCCGGCCCAAGGTTGCACCAAAGCACCAAAGGAATGCCCCTCCAAAGCCCACAGTAAGTCCGGCTGTCATTCAGGAGAGGACAAGGCAGCAGAGGAAGAGGCCTGTCAGAGGGACTGGACCAGGAGCTGAGGAGCACTGGGGAGCCATAGCCTGTTCTGCACAGAGGAGTGCCACTTGCCCCTTCCGCTCAGAGCCTCCTACCCTTAGCCTCTCCTCAGAATCCTTGCCTCCCGAAAAGCCTGAGGCTTACTTATCAAGTGGACAGCTACCCATTCTCCCCTGCAGCTATCAGCTCCCTGACCCCTCCTCCGGCATGTCTTCTGTGACATACCCTCTCCAGCCTCAGCCTCTTGGCTCACCTTGTCCCTGCTGCTGCTGAAGGCTGGTGATTCACCAAGCCCAACAATGCCACAACAGCCCTGGGTCCAAGTCCTGGCGAATGCATCACTAACACCACAATGTCGCCAACCCTCAACTGTGCCAAGTGTGCCTGGCCCTTGCAGTGAGTGTCCTGGGTAGTGCCACCTGACCTTTGGCCTCAGGCCTTCTCCAGGCAGAAGCCTCCTTCCAAGAAGAAAGGCCTGAAGTGGGCAGGAACTAGGGCTCCTGGGCAGCTCCGAGCCCACTGAGGAAGAAAAGGGGTGACCAGGACTAGAGAAGACGGCTCAGTTGGTAAAGTCTTGCCAGGTAAGCATAAGCACCCGAGTTCAGGCCTCAGAACCCATGAGACAAAGGCCAGGCACAATGACCCATACTTATAATACC